TGGGTTTGGATGGGATTGTTTTATGAATCTGGTATTTATAGATAACACTAGAAAGTCCTTCAAAATCCCTCTCACACAACAATCCTTTAAAATCCTTATATTTTTGAATACCAATGGATTGTTTTTAAGTTGTAAAAAATCTCAAATGAATACCAGTGGATTTTAATGGACTCTTTAAAAAATCTTGAAAATCCAGATTGAATACCACTGGATTGGTTTTAAGTGACATAAAATCCTGATTAAATACCAATGGACTTTTTTACTCAAAAAAAGTCTTTTAAAATCCTACGAAATCCTAAACCAATACACCCCCCTAAGTTTTATTTGTATTCTTGTTAGTTTCTTCTTTTTATTTCTCATTCCAATACAAAAAAAAAATTATAAATGATAATAATTAAAATTAAAAATAATTTAAATTATAAAAAATTTAAATTTCGTAAATTAATTTCTAAAATTTCATCCAAACACACTAATAATATCCAGCAAAAACAAACAAGGTAAATGAGTAATTTGTCTACCATGGCTTTGGTCGTGAAAGCAAATGCTTGAAGGTCTTGTTTTGATGCCAAAGCATTGACAAGCTCGTCAAATGACATTGCTCCTTCTTCATTACCATTCCCATCCTTTGCCTCTATTAGCGCTCTCGTGAGCTCATCTCTGAGTTTCTTCTAGCATGTACATACATTATCACCGCCAAAAAAACAAAATCAATAATAAAAGCCACGTACGGGAACCTAAGATGTGATAAAAATTAAAATAATTTATACATTTATTTATTTTCATATTTCTTTTTTTTTTTTGCTATAAAAAGTTAAAAAAACTATAAAACTTCACTCATAACTTACTATGTTATCATAAATAAAACCATTTATGTACTTTTACCAAAGTGTTTAAGCTTTTTCAATTAGATGATATCAGAATCTCTATAATATATTCTAAATTAATCCTCATTAATTATTAATTATTCTAAATAAAAGCTAAACTTCAACTCAATTTGAAATAATTGATTCATTGTCTTGTCTATATAAAAGTTGAATTTCATCTTAATTTTTAAGCTTATACAAAAAGTAAAAATAAAAAATAAAAATCATTATCATATGCCTGAATCTTTCAAACCAATTTCCTGAAATTTAAAATAACAAATTTTAACATTTGTGTACATGTAAGATATTGATTGCATTAACGTTTTATTTATAATATGTTTTTCAATAATGGATTATATGTTTAATGTAATTTTGTCACTTAACATTTTATAGACTCTCTTTAAAAATTTATTTTGTCATATTAATCTTTTTTATCTCATATTTTTGATTCACCACGTTATTTGTGTGAAATATTTATCATGTTGCCGTAACTTATCATTTGACAGCCTCTTTTCTAAACTGTCTTATTAATTTTCTTTTGTTGCATCCCATGTAAACAACCTCGCATTCAACGACATAGCATAGACCATAGAGGAAGATTATAATAAAAGACTGTTATCGTCTTTCATGTCTGTGCTGGTCATCTTCATATTTAAATTCATTTTCGCTTTAAATTTTAAAAATTATGGCATTTATCTTAACTTACTTTTATTTACTTAAATATTAATAAATGATCTTTTTAATTATTTTAAAGTTACATTTACATAATCATACGCTTATAAAAATCTTGATCTTTCTTTAATATAACTAGATATCAAATAACATTAATTAAATTATTCATATATTTATTATATACGTATCTATGCTTTTAAAATAATAATATATTAAAAGTAATTATTCCGATATTTTTCAACTTATCTTAGAAATTTTTTATGACAATAAAATTCAAATAAAAATAATAGGAATAAAAAATGATTCTACCAGATTGACGTCACCTCCGCCGAAGCCGAAAAATGTGGACCCCACGCAATCTGCAACAATTACATTCATTATTCATAAACATATACTGTCATCAACTTTTCAACAAAGATGAGCTCATTTTGAGAGCATTGCGGTGGAGTTACTTATAAACAATTTTTGTATTAGTTATATTAGCTTTTTTTATTTTATAAATTATTTAAATTTTAGTAAAATTATTTATAAAAGTTTCAGTATTAAAATTTAAATAACTTATAAAATAAAAAAAAATTGATGTGACATGATATGATACAAGAAATTATTATCCTCGATGATTTAAGAGTTAAATTTAATTTTATTATACTTTTGAGTTAATTGAATTAAATATGTAATTCTTAGGCCGTCTACTGATAAAATACCACCTTATGTGTGGCTTTTGAAATAATTTACTTTTATATCACAAATTAAAATATATAATATGAATAATGTGGCTTTCATTCTCTCGATTAGATATTTTAATTGCATTTTTCTTCACTTATATATAAACATGTGCACTCATCAATATATATATATACTAAAAGATTATTTTAATTATCTCATTATCTGTCTTTTTTATTATTATTATTATTATGCAAATAAGGTTGATCTTTTAAACCGTTTATTTCTTTTTATTTTCTTTTTTATATTTATATTTAAATTGATTTTTGACAGTATTTTTTAATTCTTAGTATTTAAAAAACTTGTATATAATAATTTAAATTATCCACTATAAATTCAAATTACAATATATATATATATATATATTAATATATGTATTTATTATGAATTCTAATTATAATATAATTTATATATTTAAAAAATATATTTATTGTAAAATTTTAATAATTATAAATATTTATCTTCTGTAATATATTAGTTGAAATACTAATTATCATAATATGGGACTGGTTGACAATATAAGAAATTTTTATAATATTAGTGTATTCTAATTAAATTTATGTAATTTTACCATTTGAATTTATTTTCAAAATTCATAAATTATTTTAAATAAGTTAATTAATACTTTGTTTGATTTTATTATAAAAATTATCAAGTTTATTATATATATGATAGTTTGTGATTGAATAATTTACAGATATTTAATTAATACATAACATATTTTTTTTAAAGAAAAATGGTATTTTTAAAAGATAAAAATATTTATAGATTATATTATTTCAAAATATTATTAAAAAAATATTTTTTTATTCTAATTAAATTTAAACAATTACATTTTTATATATATAAAAAAATTAAATGAATGTCATTGCATGGGTTTAAATTAAATACTTATTAAAAGTTTTGATTGTATAAAAAGTAGGTCTTTCAATATAATGCATTAAACGTTATATTTTAGTAAAATAAAAGGAAAAGGAGTAAATAGAAATTTTCTTTTCACTTTGTGGGATGAAGAAGAAGACAAAACAATTTAGTCATTACAAAAAAAAAAAAATAGAAAGAAACGGCCTACTCTATGATATGGTGTGGTAAATTAGAAAATTTAGGTGACTTCAGTCTCAGAAGTTCATTATGTTTCAATATTTTATAACTTATAGAAATACTTTACATAGTATGTAGTAACATAATTCTCACAGCAATAAAAATAAATCTCAAAGTCTTGGTGAAATATGAGTCATTTTCTTTTTCACGTCTCTTGGAATATGAATAATTTTCTTAGCAAGTACTGGTACGTCTTTAGTCTCTAGTCTCTACTCATTCGGTACTTTCCGGTCTCCCTCTCACTCAAATTCGCATGTACTTCTCACTTCTCACTTCTCACTCAACCCTTCTCTAATGCTAACGCCTAACAGTAAAAACAAATCAAATAAAAATTACGAAGCAAAAGTAAAGATATATATATATATTACCAAAGGTGAAGCACACCGCAGAAGATTCCAGCACCAAAACCGCCACTCTGAGAAAGCCGAGCAGCAACACGATTCCGAGCGCCACCACCGTCCAGTTCGAAATCCGGCGACCGGTGACGGTGACGGCAGGAGCACTTGTCTTGACGGATCCTTTTCCGTCGTCTTTGGTTACTGCAACGACTCTCTTTATCCCCTTGGCAGACACATAGAAGCTCATCTTCCGAATTCCATTCGCCTCTTTCTCCAATCGAAACGGCACCGGATCCAAGTAGGAGTTCACGGTTTGTGCGAGGAGAGGAAATTGAATTGAAATGAGGTTGAGATTTCACGGGGAAGAGAAAGTTGTTGCATAGAGAGATTGAGAGAGAGAGAGATTGTGGAAAATGCGAAAACCAAAGTCGCGGGAAATGATTATATTGTAACGACACGTTGGTGTTGGAGGGATTTGCAACCTCGCTTTTCACATTATTTACTCTTCTGACACTCCTTCACCGACACCTCCATGACGTGGCATGCATGCTATCATACTTTTTTAATTTTTTCTTAATATTAGTTTATCATCTTTTTATTTCTAATTACTTTTAAATATATAATTAATAACAAAAATAACTCTAATATATTTATTCATAACAAATTTTAATAAAAACGTTTTACTTTCGATTCGTATTTTAGCCTCTGCAAAAACAAAAACAAAAGAAAAAGTTAATACTGTATTTTGGAAATTGAAGGTTTTTGATGACTAATGAAAATGAAGTAGCACCGTCCCATTTTCACCTTTTTTTATCTTTTCGAAACTAATGTTTAGGTCGGTGATTCTGTCTCCAACCTCCACGTGTTGTTCATTTTTTTTTCCAATGCATATTTGTTCTCATATATATAATTCTGTATCACTTTTAATTTACTCTATATAGTCTATATCATTATTTTTAGAGTAATATTCAATAGAATTTTACACTAGTATTCTACTATTATTTAATTAATTGAATTTTCTATTTGATTGTGAGAAGTGCAATAATTATTGGTACGGGTTTTTATCAATGTTCTACTAATTAATAAATGGGATTTGGATGGATACATGCAAAAGGAATCTGCCAATCAGGTTTAATTGATGTTAAGTAGTATTTGGTACGGCATAACGCGGCCACAGTTTCTAAAGCGTTGACCACGGCACCAACATCCATCATCAAGAATCAAAGGTTAATTATTAAAATCAGATTGTAATTCAAATGGTCAAGACAAGGGTTTAAGTTTTAATGCAGTAAAAAATTAATTGTTTAATTGTGATTGAATTGTAGTTAAATTACTGATGATTAAATACTATTATCTTAATTTTTAATATAATATTTTAAGTAATATCAAATAAAAATAATATAGTTTATAATTTTATAATATCAAGAATTAAATTTTATTATTTATGAAAGTCATAATTCAGAATACATAAAAATCAAAACTAAATCAACTATATTATAACATTTAAGTTTGATAATATACATAATAAAATTTATTAGTTATAATTAGAAAATAAATAAATATGATATAGTAGAATTGCCTAACTTTATAATAATGGGTTAGAATTATGTCAATCATAATGATTTTTAGTTTTTTAAATAAAAAATTTAAGTAAAAGGGTTTTTTCAGCAAACCAATTCAAACTCAGTTTGGCAAGTTTTGAACCATTTCAACTTGTTTTGTACGTATCAGTTCTTTTACAAGACCCATTTTAAGGGTTAAATAAACTAATTTTGACGACTGGTTTTTGGCTCAATTTTGTTCGGAAATTTCGTTACTGTTTTAACAGTAACGAAATTTATGAACTTCAATGACTGTAGGTTAGATCTTAGTTGTTACCCTGGGTTTTTTCTCCCAAGGAAAAAAAAAGGTTATTATGAGTGTTCACCTAATTAAAATTTGAAAATGTAGACTTCTAAAAAAATGGTAAGTGGTAGTGATTGTATACCTAAAGAATTAGATATGAATGCAAAATCGACATTTAAAGACGACACGTAAAGAAAAAATGCAATGGAAACATACATTAATTTGGATATGAACACGGGAGTTAATTTTTGAGGAAAGGAGAGATTACGGTAAAAAAAAAATGACGATGTATATATGCTATTGCTATCACTATGAAAATTAAATTCAATTATATTTTAACTTTATATAGTTGAATTCAAAGATACATTTTTTTAATTATGTGACTTGCCATTTTATCTTCTTGTAACTTATTCTACATTTTAACATTAATTTGTGTAGTTTAATCTCATGTGAATTCTTAATAACTAAATCAATAAAATATGATTGTATAAATAAGGACAAAAGAAGGATATATTTTTTTGTTAATTTAACACAAAACATGGTTTTGAGTTTAAATATAGCATATATATATATATTTTTTAAAAGGAGATGTTTTGTGAAATTTAAGAAATAGAGGGAGTTTTGTGTAAGAAATGTTAAATAATAATAATAATAATAAAAGTTGGGTAACGTTATAATAGTCACGTTAGGAATAATAAGAAGTAATGTTTGTTGCCTAATTGTTTATTTGAAAATTATGTTTAATAATATTTTCAATGTAATGATGATTACTAACTTTTGCTAAATTATGAAGATTTATTTAAAAAATTAAATTAGGAAAAACTATTTATAAAAACGAAAAAAGAAAAAGGACAGGATGTTAGGCAAATTAAGGCACATCTGAATCTTATGAAGTTCATTATTGAAAGACTTACTTTAACAAGGCAGCGACATTAGCACTACTTAATGTTTTTCCCCCTCTTTGCATGGCTGTGTTTGTAGAGTAACATATTTCTTCCAGTGAAATAATAATTTAAGTAAGCTTCTTATATTATGATGGAAACTTTGGAAAATCCGGATTGATATGAATCATCTTCAAGTTCCTCCCTAAATCTTTGGCTCCTTTATTCTTCCTAGGTTTGGCTCAATCACTATTCTAATATTCTGACTGATATGTACTAGTTATACTTGTTGATGAAACATCTTTGACAAGTTGCTTACATACACTATGATTATGAGCCTTATTAATTAATTCTTTAATATTTGACTAATTAAATAATTGAGTACCTTTATATATAAATAAATATTATCCTTTTATTTCTAACTAGTGGACCACCCTTAACAATTGGCATAAAGCTCTCCAACGTGATAATATATGCATCCATCATTGTCTTACTTTCTCCTACTCAATCGGAACCAACGGCTGATTCTGGATGCACATTTGGAGCTACCAATCATGCCAACACTCGTCTTTTATCTTGCTCAATAATGCCTACATAATTTTTTCCTTAAAAACACACATACATATACATATACATATATATATAATATTATATGTATAGAAGCAAAATTAAGAATATTTACAATGATTTGATAAAAGAACAAATGTATAATATGATAAACAACAAATCTTTAGAAACTAATCAATAATATTATCAAATATCGTTTGTATTTGTTGAAGGTATAAACAAGTTACTAAGTGAAGTTATCCATTAATTATATAAGTCACCCAAAGAATTAATTATTAAGACAATATAAGACTTTCAAACTTTCTCCACATATGTCTAAACCCTAAACCTAATATAATAGATTGTATGCTTAACTTTTCTTTTTTTTTTTGTTATGTAAAATCGCTGCCCCTATCATCATTCTTGAATTGTATGGCACCAAGTCCACTATGATGATGTTATTATTTATGGGCATGTTGATTCAGGATAATATTGAGGTGAAATACGGTGCTCGCGCTACTCAATGAGTCATACATTAAAATGGATAAGGATGTTGTGGCCTTACATATTCAATTTTTTTCTTTTTTAATCTAACGGATATATCATTAAATTTGTATCAACGTCTAACATTCCTCAAATCATTAAGATGAGTGGACAGAATTATGGATATATTAAACAACAAATAATTCATTTAAAATCTGTCTTTTTTTGTTTCTGTGAGAGATTAATATATATTTATGTCATGCATATTCACCATTTACATTAAATTCAACCTTCCATTTGAAACATTTATCTTAGGCATGGCAACGGGGCGGGTTTTACGTTCCCCGCCCCCGGTCTATAGGCCCAATAGTTGAAGTCGTTAATAACTGAACATTTAAACACTCTAGTCGTTCCCAGTGCGCAGCCGATAGCAGAATTTAGTGTGATCCATGTTATTAATTGGAGACTCAAATTAAAGTTAAAATCTCATTAAGAATTTAAGATTGATGAGAAGAGTATAAGATGTATACATGAGAAATATAATAAGCTACCACCACTGTATTATCTTCCTAGAATAACTAATTAATGACAACAAATAACTTGTAAACTGAACAAAGCAAAGGATGGAATGAACCACAATGATAACGTAACCTGTTTGTTGCGTGGATTGCATGCAGAAGCGTCTCTATTCAGAAGCAGGTGACCTTTTACGCGCAAACGAAATCCGAAGGCTTTGCTTTGGCTTGTTGGTGTTGGATAGTGTTTGTTTTCCAATGTTTTCCTTTGGTTTTTTCAGAACACAAACATTGCCATCGCATATGTATCTTTTAGATTCTGGTGAGCACTCGGAGTCGGAGAAGCACCCAAAGATGTTTGACAGATACATAGCCATTCAGAATGGTAAATGAGAGACGCAATATACAAATATTTGCAATGCAATTAACTCAAACCATATATATTGTGAACGTAGACACGTAGACATATATCAATATTAATATTGTATGGTCAAGGTTGGCTAGCTGGCCGCCTCAAAACCTAGGAAAATATGTCTTCCTTAAATTATTGTTTATAAATTTAATTTGGGTCACGCGTTGCCTTCACTGCTTATACAAAGTTTCACATTGGTCAAATGGTTTTTTGTATTAAAACGTGTTGGATATTAGTTGCTTATTTTTTCGTGTGTTCACATCTTCCATTCTGTTTACTTTCTAGATCTAGTATTTTTTTTAATTATATATATATATATATATAGAGATAGATAGATATCTGCTTTCTCACATAAATAACCGATTATTTACATGAATAATCAATTATTTTATTCTTAACAATTATAGAAATCAACCAATAATAGTTTAATTGATTATTTTGAGTGAAAATTAATTATTTCGTAAATTATTTTTCTGAATAATCGATTATTACAACAATTACTTATAAAGTTACTAAAAAATAGAGCAAATATTTGATTATTACCTAAGATAATCGAATTAAGTGAAAATATAATATCTCATTTTTTTTTATACCATTTCTCTTTAGAAATCAATTTAAAACTTATTTTCATCATCAATCGTCATTTAGATAGACTAAGTTACTTACCAAGCACAAAGTACACAAGCAACAAAGCTCTATATATACACACAAACATGATACAACTTGCACTTTTTTCTTCTGAGAGGCTC